GTCCAGAACCACTGGACTAACCAATGAAGCTTTGCAGATTTAGATGAGTAAAAAATGTGAGCTGAGGTGTCTCTTTCATAAGTTGTGAACCTGACTAGCGTGTCTGCAATTCTCCTGTTCGAGTGATTCATTTTATGAGCTCATGGAGATTAAAACTTCACTTATGCTCTTGAAAGCAATTTTCCTCCTTTGGCTAAGTACAGAGGTAAATACTTTTCGTTGCCTAATCACCCACCAATGTATATGCCTTTTAATGCAAATTGTGGCTTGCAGGGTGGTTCTTCACACACACACACACACACACACACACCCCCAACTGGTGCTTACATCATTCAGCCTTTGGCACGAAATGCTCAATTATGATGGTGATCTTGTGGAATTAAGATTCTCCTCAAGAAACAGCTCAAGAGTGAAGAAATTTCTGCCATGCCAGAGCTTGGCTGCATGGAAAGAAGCACCATCCTTTAGGGTGCCCCTATGTGCAGGCTCATTCTGAAGACAAAAGGGAGGCTGCTTTCTCGCTATTCATTCAAAATATTCGAAGCGGAGTTTGCCTGCCTGCCTGCCTGAACATTGCTGCCTGAAACCCATTCAAATGCAAACTGATTTAAAGCAACAGCAAAGAGTATAATTGGCCAGGGAATGAGACTACAATGTAAGTTTCATCTTTCCCACTTTCCCTTTACCAGGGCCGCCCGGGGAGGGGGGCGGGGGGAGCAAGTGGGGCAGGTCCTTCAGTGCCACCGAGGAGCAAGTGAAGGACCCGCTCGCTGCCCAAGACCCGGAGCTCCTTCAGCTCCAGGTCTTCGGCAGCAATTTGGCGGCGGGTCCTTCACTCGCTCCGGGACCCACCGCTGAAGTGCCCCGAAGATCCAGAGTGGAAGGACCCCCCGCTGCCGAAGACCCCAGGCCTCCTGAATCCTCTGGGCGGCCCTGCCCTTTCCTGGAGTTCTTTGGGATCTGCTCCTTCGTTAGTTTCACTTATTACCCAGGGCTGTAATTTAGGGTGCTCAACTTAAGACTGATTTTCAGAAAGTGCTGGACAGCCCCTCCCCCCCAGAATCAGCCCCCCCTTTAAGGTGTCTCAAGTCTGGTACCCCAAATTACCAGTCACTTTTGAAATCTTGGCCTTGCACAATGATGAGTCCAAAGGCAGCTGTGTTAGCTGGTCCAAAGAGAGAGGCCTTATGAGGGCCACAGACAGTCAGATGTACTATGGATTGTCACGTTTTTTCCTGGTGTGGACCACGTGCCAGAAGATGGAAGCCTCCCTTCCCATTTGTGGCCATCTCCCCTCTCACTGGCAACTGAATAACATCCCTCTGGCAACTACAACAGTAACTCACATGGCAAAGTCACTTCAGGAAAGTATTTAGGGAGAGATTTTCAAAGAGCCAGGCGCTCAACGCCCAGGGGGAGTGGGTGTGGAACTGCCCTTCCTGCCTTTGAAAAATCTCCTCCTTAATCTCTTTTTAGCTTCTTTATGGCATTTAGCAGCTAGAAACAAGGACCCTGTCACCAGCCATCTCTCTATGGACCACAATCCAGGTGATCAAATGGTGGCTTTCTGATTTGGACGTATATAGGGATAATATAGAGAGTCCTCAGTTCTGGAAGGGATATTAAACCTTGTGCTTCAGGGATTAAGACAATCTCTAATTTTAGGGGACCAGAATGAGACTTAATGTAGCCGGCAGATTATCTCACATCTGCTACTGTGAGGTTCTTAGGTATTCCTCTGAAGCATCTGGTGCTGGCCAGAGACAGGATACTGGGCTAGATGGACTGTAGGTCTGATACAGCCTGTCAGTTCCCTATCCACTTTCCTGTCAAGCAATATTAGGCTCTGATGTAAGTTTAATAACAAAATGTGAATGTCTCCCTTTTCTGTTTGAATGTGAGGCTCAGAGCTCTAGACATAGTGTATGTGTGTGTGTGAGAGAGAGGGGCTGAGTCCCATTTGGGTTGTGATCAGGATTGTAAACTGAAGTCAAAGCTTTGATGGGTCTTCTGAACCTGGAAAGAGTTAACAAGAGAACACATTTCACCTGGTTATGGGTAGCACCATGCCTCACTCCGATAATAAAGGCCAATCTACAGTGATTACACCTTATAAAATGCAATTCTTCCTAGGCAGCCGTGATGACAAGTAACAGACACAGATAACAACTGCTACTGTATGAAGGCATCATCTATAGGAACCCCTGGCATAATGG